TCTGTTGGCTCTTACTCTGAATATATGGGTTGCAGGAGCTGAGTTAGATTCCAGGTCAGCAAGATCATGTTTTCCACTGGAAATGTTCCAGATGACGATAAATACCATCAAACAACTTCAGGCTCACCGCAAATGTTGATGAAAGTACCTTAGATTTCAGGGACATACAGTCCCACCTACCTCGCCTTTCAACCGATGCTGTTTGAAGTCAGTGTAGTATCCACACATCAAACACTGCAAGTATTTAGTGCATTTTTTGAGGTCTCCTCTTTAAGCTGTACAGCTGGCCTTGTTGCAGTAGGATGCCTATCTTCACATGGCTGCAGGTGGATTCCCCACTCATCTTGTTCACCATGGCTCCCTCAAGAAGGTTGTCTCAACGCAATGGCTCCAGGCCACTGCCTGGCATACAGAACATTCCCAGTTTGTCTCTGGAGATCCGCAACGCAAGTGCTGACATGTAACACCACAGCTGTGCAATTTGTCAGCAGAGGAGAGGCCGTGAGCTGTCTTGCTCCGTCAGGAGGCACTGCAGCCCCAGGGCTGTCAGAAATCAGCTCTGTAGAGCATCCTTTGCAAGTGAGAAGTCCCAGAAATAGATACCTGCCGTAGACCAGGACGGCGAGTGTCAGTCTTTTAGTCCAGACCAGCCTTCCTGACAGGGACAGGTCTCTTACCTCTGCTACCCTCAGTGATACACACCTTTTCCCACTGCCCATTGCATGCCTGGCTCTGTGGACACCAAAGCACAACTCCATCAGTCACCAGATGCTTCTAATCCATGAAGATGGAGATAGTTTTTATCAGAAAATAATTTAGTTTGGTTGGGACACTAAAATGACTTGCAGCACAATTTATTCAGGGCTCTTATGATGACAAATATTTTCCTTGGTTAGTAAAGGTCCAATTCCAGGCTCATATTGTCAGCATGGCCAGACAGCAGCCACAGCCACGTGAGATGTGCCGTGTTCTGATGTGGAACTACTTCAGTGTAGTTTTAATTTAGAAATTAGTTGTCTTCATATAACCTTTTAAAAGGCTGTACTTTGCTTTATAAATTAAGCTGAGTGTCAGTACCTACTGGATGGTACTCACTGCTCCTGTGAAAATCCCTATTTTTCCATCGGGAAGAAGGTGACTATTAAGGGATAGGCTCTGTCTCCATTTTTGTGTGTATCAATTGAATTTGCACTCAACACAATGAAGAATTTGTATTTTAAGGCTTGAAAAATTAGTTTATTTTAAAGGCTTCAAACTATTTCTAATCTAATGCACAAAAACCATAACACTACTGAAGTAATTTTTAACGTTATATTAATTATAACTATATCCACTAATAATACAGGCCTGCTAGCACTTAGTTATTGTCTGCACATTTGAGGATGAGAGGAACAAATCCACAGTGTAATCACCCATGCATTAAAATGGGTTGGGTTCACAAATAAGCACACAATTACTGTAAATTCTCTTTGTTTCTGGGGTTGTGAAGCATAGGAGCCAGAAATGAGGATGACTGCAAACAGAGCGGTTATGTCATGACAGGAAATGGAATTAGCAATAGTGAAGGCATGGAAAGATAAACTGGGTTATTCATCTGCATGTTTTGGTTACTTCAAGCCAAGACTAACAGAAGGGATTTTTTTCTTTGCTTGCTTTTCCTTTTCTTTAAGCAGCGGGCTAACGCAGTTCAGATGGCAAACATTTGCCATTTCTGAAGCTAGAAAGAAGCATGACGCAAACCATCAGTGACATAAGCCAGTATTTTGGGATCCAACAGCACGTGTAAACATCCTAGGTATGATCACTCGCACATTCTCATCTTTTCTAAATTTACAAGATGTGAATTGAGGATTATGCTGTCACCGGCTTGAGGTGATGAGGCGGAATGCAGCATTTCACAGCAAATGACATTTTGTTACAGCATTTATTTATCGAATGTCACTGCAGCAGGGCTGCAATGTTCCAGCATTTACCTTTGGTTAGCTGGCTGCTCTGGCGTGTTGGGAAATCTCAGCTACCCATGGCTGACTGTACCCAGCTTGTCTCCAAAGGCTGCATTTTTGCACCTTGATCTGCAGGCACATGGCCACCACAGCAGAAGTCAGTCCAGCATGTGATTCTCCTCTTTCTCACTTTGCAGCTCAGGGACAAGGCTGTCTTTCTCAGTGTGTCATTTATAAACAGCACATTCGCTTTCTGATTGCTCATAGGGTGATCATTCTGCTCCTAACTTAATATCTTTAGGCAAACTCTCTAAAGAGAGGTGATGCTGTCCTCCTATCAGTCCCATAGCCCCATATTTTTAAGCACGAGATCTCCTTGATATTTTCCTTTCAAATTATAAGGAAACTGGGTTGGGTGCTTCCAAATAGCAGATGAATTTTGTTTACTTGTTTGCCTATCCAGCAGCTTGCAGCCCTGAGCCACAGTGAGAAGAAAATCACTGAAAAGAAACCAGTGAGCAGTAGCACTGGCTGAAATCTTTCTCAGAAGAAGCTGATAGTGAAAGCTCATAGAAGCAAAGAGAGACTTACCTGAAAGGCAGACTGCATGTACTCAGCAGTGGAAAGTTCTGCTTCAGCCTCCAGCTCCTCTATCCAAACCATGACTGGAGAGAACAGGCAGACATGAACAACCAGCTCTGGAAATAGGGTTTGATGTCATTTAAGAAAAACTAATATTTTAATTATCTGAATCTGCCCGTTTTTCATCCTTTTTTTTCCCCCACCCTGGAGTTTGTGGGTACTTTTCTTCATTAGTTTTGGAAGTGAAGTGAGAGAGTGCTTTCCTGCCTGCCTCCACCGTGCGTTAAGGAGTGCGGTGTTACCATTCTTGCTAGATGAAGTCTTTTATTCCTGCAACTGGATACTTCTGCTGCTTTAATCCTATTTCAGAGCTGATGTCTTATTCTTCATGAAATCATGTTTGTAATTTCATGGTGATTTTACTGCTGCTTGCAGTACCTCCGTAACACTCTAACTTCAAATCATTTTATTAACATTAATTTAAACACCTATTTTTGTTTCAGTTACAGCAAAACAAACAAAGAAACAAAGCAGGATTTATTCTCCATTATTTCTGAGTTCATTACCCACGTTGTGAATAAGCCATGCTATGCACGTAGCTGTGCCTATACCAGTTCTGCACCTCCCAGCCTGACTGAGAGGACTCTTCTGCCAGAGCACACCGCTTCTGGAAAGGACTGGGATTCTTCCAGGGCCAGCTGGAGCCCAGAAGCACTTCCATTAGCCAGGTTTTTCTTCTTTCACTTTTGCAGCTCCCCACTTCCCCTAATAATGGAGAGCTGATTATGTTTTAATTTCACAGATGATTACGTTTAGGGGATTTCATTCACAGAGGATTAAATTGCAGGTTGCGGAGAAACAGCCAGGTTCAGGCACGAACCAAAGAAAGGTCTTACTTAGACTAATGGGCACATTAAGGGAATGAAGTTATAGCTATTTTTGTTATTTGACGCCGAACTATTTGGGGACACAGTATCCTGTGTGTGCCTGGCTCCATCACTTTTCTGCTTTATGGCCCCTTTCTCTTTCCTGGGTTCTGCCCACGCCTTTGTTAATCTACCCTCCTAACAAATAAATGCTCTGACTGTGAGTTCATGTGCACCAGAGAGCTGCTTCTGATTTATAGGAAGGCGAGCTAGAACAGTACTTAGGTCAGGATATCAGTTTTAGTGTACAAACTCCTGTATGTGAAAATCCCCTCTCTCCCCCCCTTTCCCTCCCAAAGGCACTGTAAAGAAGTGGGGTTTGATTTTCATCACGTTTGGAGATGCAGCAAGCATCTTAACCTCAACCCAGCTTAACAGCTAGCAATGCTTTTCACGAGCGCTTATCAACACCCATGGCATAGATGCTCTGACAAAATTATCTTAGATTTTGTTTTCACAAATTAGCAACAACAGGACAGTCAGTTCACCACCAAAATCACCATTTGGTGACCGCTTCTCTAATACAGAGCATGCCTCTTGCTGAGGGTAAAAACCTACAGATGGGTTTTCTCCATGGGCAGAAATAACCACATTGCACATCAGGAGGGTATGAACCTCCTGTACAGCAGCCTGCCCTTGTTCAGTTCTACTGCCCAGCCGCTTTCCTCCTCTCTCTTTTGACACTGCTGCAGCAATACTGCAAGGCTGGGACAAGGCTCAGGTAAAGCAGAGACCAGGTGTGCCAAACACCACAGTATGTCAGAACAAGAGGCACAGGCTTGACACAGGAATGAGGATTGTGCCTGTAAGAAGAGTGAACAAAGCAAATCTTTGTGAAGTTTCCGAACCCAGCACTGAGATCTCCCTGCTGAGCTCTTCACTGTATGCATCAAACACAGTCGATCCACTTTTACAAGGGATGTGATCTAACTGCGTGCAAAGTAACACATTCTTGTGCCTACCCACAGCCGTACACCGGTGCCGTGGCTGTGCTCCCACTGCCCCGCGAACCACAGATCATCTTCTCAATTATTGCCGGCAGCTGAAGGTGGCTGTCGCTGCCTCTCCTAAGGGTTCTCTGTGCTGCTGTGACAAGAAGAAAATTCGCACAAAGTCCATTTCTTAGTGGATGATCGGGGAAATGGAGACCTTACTTTAAACATCACACAACAATAGCGTCGCTTGCTAAAACATTGTTTCCGTGCATCACCTCACTGCCTGCGGGCTCTGACCTGCACTCCCCTGGTTCCCACTCAGCAGACACTGCAGCATCTCTCAGAATGCATTTGTCGGAACCGTGCGCGTGCAAAGTGACGTCCAGTAACCCGTGCTGATGGCCAGGCACCTTGAAAGGCTCCTTCGGTGTTGTGTAACTATTCAGTAACCGAACAGTTGATTCCCACTGCCTCGCACCTGGTCAGCGCTCCCCACCTGCGCACGAATTGCAAAGTACGCGATAAACGCGAGTCACGTTTTCCCGTCACAGGTGGTGGCATTTTGTACCCATTTAAGCTGCTCTGCCCGGTGCGGAGAGAGACTCCGACCCGTTCAGCGTCGCTCCTTTCCCCGCATGAAGGTGAATTTTGAAAGCAGCCCGGCCGTGCCCGCATCCCTTCGTAAGCGGGGGAGGGAGCGCCGCGTGGTCCCTAACGCAGCGCTCTCCGACACGCGGGCACCTTACGGAGGAAGCGCGAAACCCTGGAAGGAACGTTTCCAGAGTCCGCTACGAGCAGCGCAACCTCCGCTCCGCGGCTCACCCGCGATGTTTGCCCAAAGCACGCGCAGGTAAAAGCTCGGTGCCCGGCTGCGGGGCCGCTCGTCTCCCGGCAGGTGCGGCCAACGGCGGGAGGCGTGGGCCGGGCGCGGCGCCCAGGTGGGGCGGGCGATGGGGGTCCCTTCTCCGGGCGTTGCCGCGACCGCCCCCGCGGCCCCCCCAGCGCCACTGCGGCTCCGCGCGGCGCCGGCCGCCCCCGGCCGGTAGCGGCACCCTTCCGCAGGGCGGACACAGCCGCAGGGCTCCTGTCCCGCCGTCGCCAGCCCGGCGGGGGTGGGTTGGGGGGGGGAGGGAGCGGCGGAGAGAGCGCGGTCGCCTGCGGGGCCGGTCCTCGGCCACCGTCCCTCCCTCCCTCCTCCCGCTCGGTGACCCGCTCCTCCCGCCCGCCGCAGCGGCCTCCCCGCATGGTCCCCGCCGCTGCCATGAGCCAGGCCCCGGCCCCCCGCGGCTCCGACCGGCCGGAGAGCGATGCCCGCAGCGGAGCCCCCAGCCGGGGCCCCGGCAGAGGGATGCCGCCGCCGCCCAGCCTGCCCCAGCTCCTCCACAAGTAAGAGCCGCCCCGCGATCCGCCGGGCCGGGAGGGCAGCGCCGGGCGGGGCAGGGCGGAGGGTCGCTTCCCTCACTGCCGCCGGTGCCCCCCGGAGTCCGCACCGACAGCCCGGGCGGGCAGCGCAACCGCGCCCTACAGCCGGCACCGCTCCCCTGCTGGGATAAGCTCTGTTCGCCCCTAAGCTCCGTTTTTCCCCGGGTTCTGTTCGGGCTCCGTTTCCCCCAGGCCGCTGCTGCCGGGCTCCGGGGCTCGGCGCCGCTCGGGGAAGTTCCCTGCGCCGTGCTGGGGCCGCGGGCAGCGCGTCCTTGCCGGGCCTGCAGCGCTGGCATCTCTGCGCGGCCGTCCCCAAGCCGGCCTGCGTGCGGGGAGCGGTGCCGAGGGGGCAGCCAGCGGTGGGTCCTGCTGGCGTTTTGCCGTTTCATTTTCTGTCCGAAGAGAGAAAAAGGAAAGCCCTTTTGCCATACGGTGCGGTGACGCGAGTGGCACTGATGTGGGTAAACGAGAGACCGGCCGTGCGCTCCGTGATTCCGTGTGACGCACGAATTGAGCTGTGCAGATCCAGATATCTGTGCCTAATAGTCAGAATGCCCTGAAAAAGAGGGACTCCCACCAAGCAACAAACCTGTGGGTGAGCGCCGGGCTGCCGTGCCCTACAGCTGTAAGGATCGCAGCCTTGCGGCGCTCCGGCTGTCCCGGTGTGCTCGTGCCCGCTGTCAGCGCTCGGCCGGCCCTGCGCTTCCCTCCGGCCGCAGCCGACTGTGAGAGCGCAGCTTTGGGCATCGCCTGCATCGGTTTGACAACAAAAGCAGCCTTAGGGAGGAAATGCTTTCAGTCCCGGCCCTGTTTTCGGCACGCATCCGTGTAAATATTCTGGTGTGCTTTAGCTTTGCAGAGTGTTATTTTGAGTTGGGAGTTTTGTTACCATTTATAGGTATTTATGAAACTGGAGTTTTAAGGTTGCTGTGGAGTGTGGTTCATACGGTGCATGATGTTTGTGCTTCCTCTTATTCTGGTTTGCTTTTCTGGTGTTGTAGCTTGTCCTGTTCGTATGTTAGCCATTCTTGTTGTCTGTGCCTTCATGGACATGCTTTATATCCACATTCTTATTCCAAAGTCATATATATTGACTGGGGAGCTTGCGTTGAAACCAAAGCATGGGTGAGTAGTGCTGGGAGGCTGAGGAGCTCCATGGGAATGGCAGCACAGCAGGATGGTGCTGATGGTTCTTGCTTGCTGGCAGTTGGTTGGAAAGCCCAAACCGTGGGCTCTGATATTGGCCCTTACTCCTTAATGCTTACTGAGGCTTTGCAGGGCTGCGTAATGTGCTCAGGACTGACTGACTCATGATTAATTTTATAACGAGCACGCTATACAAAGAGCCATCTCATTTCTACCAGCTGAGCCCGCTATCAAACCCTAGGTAGGAAAACTTGAAATCAGTTTCTTTTCGAGCCTCTCTTGAAGGGAAAGTTGTAAGGGAGCTCCCATGCTCTGAGTGCCCTTTGCCATGGCAATGCAGCGCCAGGCGGTGAATGTGGGCTGTGTCCATCTAAGGCCCTGCAACTCGATCGTGCTGTTTTCAAACCCTGTGACATAACCTTGCTTGCACCGCTGCATTTACCCTAAAATTCATACATCTCCAGTTTTAATTACGAAAGCAGGCAGATTGTATTTTGCTTTACTTGATACGAGTTTGGCATTCCGTTTATCTGAGTTGGTTATTTGGTGCGTTTGATCCTTATTAGGAAGGAGTACATTAGGGCTTATCTTAAAGTGCTGTTGTGAATGTATCTGTGGGACGTGTGCGTTGCCTGTGCTCAATGAAATAAGGTACTTTAGGAGGCTGAGGGCAGCAATCCGTCTGTCTCTTCACGAGATGAAGTTGTGATTCTGTAACTGGAAAAGAAAATATTGACCTCTTATTATTTTTAAACAAACAGTTGGTGCAGTTTTGCTTTGCACCGTTTAAACTTCCGGAGCCCTCTGGATGGCCCTTCTTCCCCTGCTTAGAAACTGTTGCAGGTGTAAGCTGAGGAGCAGGCAGAGCTTTCTGAGAGGGTTGTGGTGTTGGATGGGAGAAAACTTAATATTTTCCAGAAGTTAAAGCCTTGTTGCAGTCGGAGCTGTTATGGAAAAGCTGGGATTGTGCACTTTGGGGGCTGACTGCTGAACACATGCCAGCATAAGAAACAGAACAGAAGGCAGAGAAGAAGGGGATGACAGTGGGAATGGTGAACATTCATAACATGCTCCTGCTCTTCGCTCGCTGGTGGGAGGTGGCTTTAGTAAATGCAACATCTCAGTGTATGGTAAATGTATCACCTGTTGTGGTGTTGTCTGGAGTGTGTGCCCACATGGGAGAGGGGAGACTGCTATTGGTGTGATTCTAGGGGTGCTGTTGTCATGCAGTGAGGCAATGGGCTGGAAGCACCTGGGAGCAGAAGCCTGGCAATAGGGGCTTTATGTGAGGAGCGCTCTCTGCAAACATGCTGCAAGCCAACTCCGTAATTACAGGAGACCTGATTGCACTGAAATGCATTCCCTTTGTATGTTTTAATGGCTAGCTGCCTGCTTTCAGTTCTAATGATTTGTCATGGGTAATACATGCTCGATGGAGATGGAGCGCTGCTTCTCTGCCTGTGTTGATACAGGACAATACGTTTGTTTTACACGTGGAGTAAGGCATCCTGAAACAGTGGGGGGGAGGGAACAAAGTGAAACCATTATTATTATTATTATTTTTTCCAAGGGGTTTTGCCCCAGAGATTCCGAGCTGCTCTGGAAAGAAGATGGAATTTGCAACATCTGCGCCTGAGTCGTCATCATCCTGTGCCAGGTCTGGGGGCAGCACTCCGAGCTCTGCTTTCCTGCAGCACTTTGGGGGAAGCTGCTGGGGAAAAGAAATAATAGCCCATTGTTATTATTTGTTATTTCTTTCATTTAAATCCATATTGTTGAAACAGGTGCCTTGGGATTTTAAGCACATCCATTTTGTGTAAGATTGTGGGTTTTTCCTTTTCTCCTCTCTATCTTTTTTTTTTTTCCAACATGAGGTCTCTCAGGAGAGATAAAATATGAATGTACTCCCCTTGTATACATTAGTCATGGCAAATAGTTTGGCATATATGGCAAAGGCAAAGCAGATACTTAACAAAGGGATGCTGGGAGAAACACTGCTTTCACTGTTTCTATCCTCAGTGTTACTGACCCAGCCTTTCCCTACTTGTTTGCCTTTTAAAGTACATCTCCACTGCTTGAGTTGCTTTCCCCACCTGACAGAGCCTTGAAAACTCATCTACTTACATATAACTCATCCCTTAGGTAAGGCATTACCTAAAGATCAGTGATAAATTAATTCTATGGGTATTTTACTTTAAATAAAAATGACTGAAAGTGTTTTTTAATCTTTTTTAAAATAATTTTTATGAAACTCATTTTTTTTCTTTATTTTAACCCAACAGTCTGTTGGGACAGGAGCTCAGGGGTTGAAGATGGGCTACAGAGGTACAAAAAGAGATGGATCAGAAAAAATAATGTAGAAGTGCCCTCGCGTGTGCTGATATCTCTATGCAGTCTGGCTTTTATCATCTGTTATCAATAAACTCATAGTTGCCCAGAAATGTCAAAATAATTTTAGATATTTAAGTGGGGGCAGAGATGATAGCAGCGGTACCAACTTTGGTAAAAATGAAAATTACCCATTTCTATGAGACCATGTAGTAAGTGGTTTATGGGATGCAGCATGTGGCAGTGGAACTCAGTTGCCTGGATCTTGCTCTTTTATTGGAAACTTAATCTTGCTGTTCCCATCAATGGGAAACTGGGAAATGTGTTCTTCTGGGGCTCCTGGTTCAGCAGTTGTTGATGCTAACCTGTGTGCACCCAACCGAGGTATGGCTGTGCCATGGGGATGTGCTCAAATCTTTCCAGCCCTGCTTGGAAGAAGGGAAAGCAGAGGTGGGTGCAGATCTACTTTCTGGGGACTGTCAGAATGGGGGGAATTGGATCTTGAGAACTACATTTATGCTTTGGAAAGGACTGTGGAAATTTCTTCAGGAGGGCAAGAAATGGGTTTTTGTGTCAAGTAATTTTGGTCACTTTAAAATACCCCTTTGGATGGAATCTGCTCTTTCCGAGGAGCGTGTGTTCTTGATTTATTTTTAAACTAAATCTTTCAATCAGATTTGCAGCTGGATGCTTTATCAGACTGGCTTTATTCCCCTGAATTCCATCCCCCTCCCCCAGGCCCCCCCATTCTTCGTACCATTTTATAGTTGGTGTGAGGATGTAATCGCTCTGTTAGCCTCTGCCCCTCCACACCCAGCTGCTTTCTCTTTGTCACACTAATGACCCGTCACTGTGAAGCTGTCAATTTGCGCAGTGGGTGAAAGCAGAAAACCCGGCCTCTTGGGTTTTGGAGACGTTTAATATCTGTCCCATTCTGACAAGTTGAGCCTAGCC